GAGCTGCGAGCCCCCCGCCGCAACCCGCCGCCGTGTAGCTGTTCGGAAAGGGCCTTCGGCTTCTGCTTCCCTCTTAATATGTTCGGACACGCAGTCTCCGAAGACCTAGGAAAGCTGCTTGCTGATCCTGAAGTTGTTTTTTTTCCTCAGTTCGGTAGTTCCCTAATTGGAAGTGGGAATACTTCTACGTGAGGTGTTTTAAAAACAAATGAGTTCTCTTGAAGTCGGTCTGTTTTAGAGCTGTGGTGTGTGTGTGGGGGGGAAACCACACGTAATATGTAGTGCTTATGACATGGTTTTAAAACCAATGCAAGAAAGCTGAAATGCTTTGTTCAGGTCTCTTCTCATGGCTCTGCAAGTCTACAGTGAATGCTGTTAATACTTCCAAAATTTCATGTTTCTTCTAGACTAGTAAGTACAAATATGTTATCCAGATATTTGGATGCTAGTCTAGAAATGGCTAGACAGCAAGTTGTATGCTTGTTTTCACACTTAATCATACAGTTTCTTTTGAGTTCCCTAAGATCTTCAGGAAAACTAGCTGTGATTTCTATGACTAAAGCACAAACTATACTATTGTCCAAGTATAAATAATAAATAGTCACCTCAGATCTTGCAAGATACCCTGCTTTCCATGGAATCCTGAACAGGAACTAAAACTGCTACTGCTCAAGACTGTCAGACAGAAGTGAAATTGGATTTGCTCAGCATTACTAGAGCTCTGGTTACAAGTTTAAAGTGTTTCGTGTTTTGAGGCTTGCCTTTTAACATCATAAAGAAACAAGTTATGTGTGTTTTGTTCATTACAGTGTATACCAAACACTTAGAATCACCCTCTTCTTGAACAAAGGAAAAGCAAATATAGTTTTGTCAAGAGCTGTGGAAGATTTTGCTGTAACTCCTGTAGTTGAAGGAGTCAATATATCAAGTCTGTAGAAGACCAGTTTGACCTTAAAAATACAAATTAAAAAGGATTTATCAGAATGGCTTGAAGAATGTTTTCCTCTTGCATTTAACTTACCAGAGTTTCACAAACTGCTCTCTTGTCTCAGTCAGAGTTATAAAGGGTCTAATCCAAAGTCAAAACCTCTTTATTCATTGTGTTTTTCACTTTGAAACCCTGATTTTTTTGTTTCAACTTGTGTGATGTTTCTAAATTTAGCTGAAATCTGGACAATGAGGTTTGTATTGGACCCAGAACTTTAAAACCTAAACAGGGTCTATATTGATTTCTAACATAAGTGTTCAAGCAGTGCATTTAAAGGGGACTCTCATGTTTAACTTCCAGGACTGAGCTTCTTGTGCATTCTGTCTCCTGCCTTCACAATATCTTCACAAAATCTTTAAATGTAACTTAATATCTAGCTGTTGTACAAAAGCAAGCTGCTTCTCCCAAACACTGCAATCACTCTTCCCTTTGCACTTATTATAGTACTTAAATGTCTTGAGGCAATAACAACAGAAGTATAATAAATATGTTTATGTTACTATATTGATCATAAAGTTTTGCTGTCCATGCTAACTAGGTTAATATTTCAACCATATTAATGCTTGAAAGCCCAGTCACTTGACTTGTAAATATGTGCTATGGGAGGCTACTTATTCCCCTTGCCACTTCATTTTTGGATTGCATACGTTCTGCCCATGTCTTATGTGGCTCATCACTTCCTTTACAATTCTCTTTAAGAAACTCTTGTAGGAGGCTCTTCAATAATTTGAGTCTTTTCCTCCTGCTGTTACGATAAGCTGGAGATTCAAAAACCCATTTTGAAATTTGATGCATTTGTCCCTTGCATTAGGCATGCTATGCAGTTAACTCTCTTGTAGCAATAAGAGACAAGTAATACAAAGAACAGATAATGAAAGCCACATAATTTAAAAATTAATTCTTTCTAGGAAAGAGCAAAAGAAGCCTTGAGAAAGTGAACTGCTGCACTTTATACAGTTTACAACTGTGGTAGCTGTTTTGTCTGCTCACTTTAATAGCTGGATCGGGATGCTGTAAGTTCTTTATATTGGCACTCATTTCAGTGCTTGTGCTATTGACCTACTGTATCAGTCAGCTGATAGCTGATGACACAAGTGACTGTGCAGTTTTCATGTTTGGATTGCTCATTAGCTCGGTGCATGTAGCATGGTAACTGGTGACCTTTATTCATACTAAGTATCTACTGATCTGTTACTGAGTATCTATAATTTTCAGGCAAACTTCAAAAGGTTGGTTTTCCAACACAGCTGGAAAGTGTGGCTGTTTTTGTTTGTGCATGTAGTGTCTCTTAAAGGCCTTCTGAGGGTTAAGAATGCAATTGTGTATTCTTTGTGTAGGATTTAGTTTTTATCACCTGACTCTGATTTCAGTAGCATCCCTTAAGACTATTTTGGTAGAGTGAAGTACCACCTAATTAGCTCTGATCAGGACACTGGTCAAAAGGTCTTTGTTTAAAGGTGTAGCTCTACTGAGCTTAAAACAGGGGGGAGGAAGATACCCTGATCTTTGAATTGGGTAGCAACATCTTACTTGGTATTTGACTTAAAGCCAAATGTGATATAGCAAGATCTTTTCCTGAAAACTGAGGTGTAAATATCTATTATGTTGGTCATAGTGTTTCCCAAGGTGCCTTGTTGCTTGCCATATTGGAACTGACCAGTGGAATTTCAAAGAAAACTAACTTTCTCTGATGCCCTGCCTTTCTGCTGTAACTGCTAAGCAATTCTCTTTAGTGTAGCGCTTGGTGCATGGGTATCTTAAGGAGTGTACATGGTACCTTGTAGAATGTTTGTTTCATGGGGAGTTGTTTATCTCCTTCATTAGAAATGTGCTTGAGTTGAATCCACTAATGGAGGAACAGAACTGCTTGTTTCTGTGTGGAAACAACTTGATCCAAGAAGCTTCATGGCAAGGTGACTATAGTATAGCCAGACAACTATGCTCTAAGTAACACTTCATTTTGCATTTAAAACACTCGAATAACAAGTTAATCCTGGCTTTGCTGTAAAGCTGCTAACTGTTCTGCTCTGTTCACCTACAGGTTGTGACTGTTTCTCTTCTGTCGCCTGTGTGGAAAGTGCCACACACACTCCAGAACAACGACGGCTTTTGCTTGCATTTTCCAGTGTTTCTTTTGTCAGCGTGTTCAGCAAAGTTGTAATTCTTCAAGTGCCAGCCCTGAGCTGAGTGAGGAGCCAGCAGCAGAGATGGTAAAAATGACAAAATCAAAAACGTTCCAGGCTTACCTGCCGAACTGTCATCGAACCTACAGCTGTATCCACTGCAGAGCCCATCTAGCCAATCATGATGAATTGATCTCCAAGGCAAGTGGCTTGTTTAGAGACCTCATGAGTTACGATAACAATTTCAGTTAGAAAATTGTATGAGTGCTTCCAGTAGATAAGGATTGCAAATCTGATGAATATTTCACAAAGTATCTTCTCGCAGTTCATTCTTGGGTCATAGATGTTGTGTACTGAGGACTGAATGTGTTCTGGAAACTTTTGAATGAGCCGTATAAAGGCTGATCTAACATATTTCATACTCACAGCCTGAATCTACTGCCAGGTAGGTACTATGTGAGAGATACTATATCGGAAGTCTGCTGACAGAAACTGTCTGAAGAAAATATGGAGCTTAAGGTGAGGAAATCATTCTGGTCATGGTTATTCCAGGTAAAGATTACTCTTGATGTTCTTTGACTGAAGGTCACAAAACTATTACTAAAACATCCCACTGAAATTATGAAGTCTGTCAAGGTGTTCTTTGAAAACCAGTATACAGCAAAAGTAAATGATTGGCATAAGAGATTCAGAATAGCTGGACTGTCTGAACTTACTTAGAGGATGTGTGGATCCTTTGCACAGGCTAGGCCTGTCCTTCTTTCCTGTTGTTGCAAGAAACCAAAACTTGATGTATGAAATATGTAAGAAAACTTGAAGCTTGGGATAAATACTTGACGGACTGGTTCATTCTTTGTTTCAAAATAAATTCTTGATGAATTTGCTCTTAGTGACATCCCAGAGAAAACACTCAGCCATTTCTCAACCTTATCTCAGAAAATGCTTTCACTAAATTTATTTTGCTGAATAAAAATGTTAGAGCTAAACCCTTTCTATAACTGCCTTTATTGCTGCTTGCTCCTGCTTCCTTGTGTCTTCAGCAGCAATACTGAGGTAGTGCTGCTCTTGAATGCTGAAGAGAGAGCGAGAAAGCTGCTGCTTCTGAGTTCAGGTTTTCTTGGGCGAGGAGAAAGCATAGCAGCTCACTTGTTTCTGGACAACCCTCTGGAAGATAATGTGCTTCCCCTCCCTGCTTCATACAGTTTTTCTTGTTGCTAACCTTTCTGATCTTTATTTAGTTCTTCAGGCATCTTTTGGTCACCAGTTTTGCTCTTTGAGTCAGTTTGTGGCTATATTACTTGTAGGGATCATCTTACAGCTTGCTTATTCTTTCTTCTGTTCTCCCTTTGCTCCCTTCCCCCTAAACAATTCCTTCCTTCATCTTTGCATATGTATGAGATACTCTTACTGCATGGAATAGGAGATTAACTCATTAAATGCGAAACTTCACATCATTTTATGTATGTAGCCAGTTAAGATATTAAAGTCTTCCCTCTTATTTGTATTAAACGAAAAAAGCTTGTCACTCACTTTATAGTGACTGTTTGTATTTCTTAATTTCACCAAAAACAAGAGAAGCTTTAAGATAGTATATGTGAATACATTTGAATTTCATTTATTTTCATCTTGATCTAAAAATATCAATATTAGGGATGACCTTTCTGGCAACATTTGATTCTAAGTTACAGGGAATATCTTCATTATTCACTACATGTTTGGGGCTTAAAACTAGTGGGAGGAGTTATGTTTTGCCTGAACTTTAGGTTGTAGGAATTGATACTGCATACAGGAAGAATGCAAGAAATTTTGCTAACTGTTTCTTAAAGGTTGTATAAATTTATCAAGAAAATAAAATCTATACACATACTAAATATACAACTCTCAGTTGACTTGGACTTCATATGCTGTACAGCTAAACTGCTACAGTTCCTGCATGGGCCAGCACGCTCCAAGGTCTTGGGAGTCTTGGTCAGATGTGTCTTTTGAATATGCCTTTAAAGTGAATTATATGTTCATATTATGACCTCAAAATTAAAAATAACTTCAAATGAATTAAAGATTTTTCAATTGGGAAACTGCAGAGCACATGAAGAACTCTTAAATATTTATGTTTACTAGACATATTTTTCAATCTGTGAGTGGTTTGTATACTATTGGGAGAGGTTTTGGATGTTTCTGCCTTAATCTGGGCTCCAATGATTTCTGTTGAGGAAAGCAAGATAGGAGTGTTTCTGTGTTTGCAGGTTGACCATATGCTTATTTGACAGCTGGTCACGGTTCTGTGAACTTAGATTTGTTCGCCTCTTTCTATTGTCTAGATCTGTGTGAGATTGAAAAGCACACTTAAATGTGAGTTGTATCTTTTTGTATGTTTGTAAAATTAAAATTGCTTATCCATTGTACTTCTCTTTGGAACATAGGCTTTAAAAAAACCACCTTTAAACTTTGTGTATTCCTACATTGGAGAAGTTCTTTTGATGGAGGCAATTGCAAATCAATAGTTAGGTAAAGCTGGATCGTAAGATTAACAACAAAGACTGCTTTTCCTGGTGGGGGAAGGTGGGAGAAAATAAGCGTTCATTTAACTTAAATTGAAATACTTGTTAACCTAGAAATTAAAAGCTTTGGTAGTATCCTAGACAACCTGCATGGGTAGAAATTATTGTTAGAATTCCAAGAGGACTAACAAATGAACACGACTCAGAACTATCTTTTCCTGTGAACCTTTTTCCCCGAAGTTCTCTAATACAGTACCCTTTTGAAGTGTGTATTCCACTAAGTGCTTTTATTAATGCACATCATGTTATAAGGTAGCAGTGAAGGTAAGTTAGTAAGGTAGATATGTTATACTAACTAGCTCTGAAATTGAGTTACAATAAATAACTACCCAGCTGCAGCAAAAATACTTGAAACCGTTCAAAGCATAGCAAGTTGATTGTATATGATCTAAAATTCTTCAAAACCAATGCTTTTAAATCCTCCATCTGGTTTGTCTTGGTATTATTGGGGTATGCAAGTGTCATGTGCTGCTCGTTTTCTATACTGTGCTGCATATTTCCTGTGCTGTCTTGGATTTATTGATGGAGCAGAGAATCAGACTGCTCAATTTAATTTCTCCTCCCTGTCCCCACAGTTGGGGCTAAACTTAAGTGTCTGCCAGAGTTTCACTTTTATTAAATATAATTTTTGGCTACAGATTCTTTGTTTGTTTTCAACTGCCAGCTATAGAATTCCACTCCAAAACCCCAAGCTCTACAAATATTCTTCAGCAGAAACAAGGCAAACAGTATTTGATACTTAGCTGAACTGTAGCTTTTTTGTTTAGTTTGTTTTGTTTGTTTCCCAGATGCATAGTGTCTGTGGCTTTCTTTTTCTGCCTGGCTGGAAAAAGCTGAAATACACTGTCAATCCTCAAATTAAAGCAGCTGCAAATAGCTTTCTAATGCACTTTCAGGCATAAGCACTGATGTTTAACTTCAAAGTGAAAAGATAAGTTATGCAATGAAATGGGTGGTGTTTCTCTTAGATGTTGGTCTGTCATAGAAAAGCAAAAAGTGGTACGTTCTTCTGTCGGTCTCCCCTTTGATTCTGGACTTCGGTCTACTAGACTTCAATATAGGTTGCAACTCTTCTGCTTTTGAAAACTGTTGCTGCCAACTGTCTGGCAAGAATGGCAAGTGTACATGAATCACACTTTCATTTTACTTCTATTCTTTGTGAACAGCATGATATCTTTCTTGCCTTAAAATTAGTCATGAAGCTGCTCTTTCTCTTCCTCTACCTGTAAATTTTCTTGTGACCTTGCTGATAATAAAATGGCAACCAAGAATCTTGGAAGTGGCTTAGAAATAAGAACCTAGTCTGCTAAGGCATTATAAAATGTGGTGCCAGCACAAGTGAAGTCACTTTCATCCATAGTTCGAGGGTTTTTTTTGCAACAATGAAAGGACTGAACATGCTGCATATGGGTGGGTTGAAACCCACTTGAATGCTAATGATCATTAGAGAATGTTAACTAGTTATTTCCTCTCTAACCCTGGGTATTTTCTATGTCTGGGAGCCCTTCAGAAGGGGGAGGAATGGTAGGAAGGCTGTCTAGGAATAGGAGTCCTGAACCAGGAGGTGGTCAACAACAGACTTACACAAAGAGTCCATGCAGTTAAACATGTATATAAACAGTTGTCAGTAATAACGTGTGCCTTCTTGGGAAAACACTGGTTTAAAGGATTATGTAATAATAGAATAACAATGTAGATGACTGTTTAATTGAAATAAGTGGAATGTTGAGGTGATATTTAAATACCCATTAAAAACTAGTGAGTTATGACTTGTGTTAACAGACTTAAGTGCTGGATCATTTGCTTTTTTAGCAAAGGCTTTGAAGCAAATGTTAACGTTAAGTTCTTTCCTTGCATGATTATTGCAAGGAACACAGGGGGATTCTGAAGAGTAGGGAAGAACCTGCAGCTTTCTCCTTTTAAAGAAGCAAATATTTTTGTTCTAGAATCATTATCTTACTATGAGTACACGTACAGAGGGAAAAAATGACCAGTTTCTATCAGAAAATAACCACAGGCCATAAAGAACAAGGCAAAAAGTTGATGCCATAGGAGGCATTCCTTGGATTTTAAATGTTCAAATAGCACAAAACAGACTATGCAGTACACTTTTTAAAGTAAAAAATATGAACTGTCATATGTGTTTTGGTAGCTCAAACTTGAGAACTTCTACAAGGCTATTGGAAGTTTCAGAGAGGTTACCACTTACGTGACTTGTACAAAATGGTGTATATATGCGGCTTTTAAAGCAATTCTAAAACAAGTGTTATGAAAAGCTTTGGTTTGAAAAAGCTTTAGTCTGATTTGGTCATAAATGGTAGAGAATGTGCAATGATAATTAGCAGTAATTTTATGCAAGGCAAAGTGTTGCTTTAAGAGCATAGGTTCTAACTCACTTCTGAGTGAGTAAGCAGTCACACAACTAACTCGCTGTCTTTGGCTTTCCATCTAGCTGTAGTCCTGGTCTGTCTAATTTCAGTAGTAGATTAAATCAATCTACTGTTTAACCCACTGTACTGAATTAACTAGTAATGGATGTGAAAGCTCAAGCTAGTTTTTCTGAACTGGCTCATTTAAATCTTGGAATATAAGAATCTTTCATTCTTTTTGAAATCATTAGAACTCTTAAGTGAAAGAATGTCA